GGACATTCTAAGAAGGGGCAGTGATGGCTGCCACCTGTCAGCAACTTCGACTGTAATAAATCCTCCTTATCTGGCCGGGTCCAAAGTATTTCCTCAGTTTCATGAGCCTCTGCCAGGCCAGGGGCCAACAATAAGCAAGGCAGTTAAGGACAAAGTGAGTTAAAATTTTGTGTTTGACACACAGCAATTGTACAAACTTAAGAGATACAATGCAATGTTTTAATACATGTATGTAATAAATATCCTCAACCAAGGAAACCCTTTATATATAACTTGGATCTAAAAATAGTCACCTCCTAATCTGTAAAGTATAATAAGCCAAACCAATAGGAGTGTGATGGAGGCTTTTTTCTGTGTTTGCAGTGAGAGAAGCTGGGAGAGGCCTCACTCTGCTGTGACGCAGACTTCGATCTCTCCAGGCCAGGAGGGCTGACTCAGATGCCATCGCACTGATCTGCTGAACTCTTCTTTCTGGCTTTTCTCTCTTGAGCACTGAAGCTTTTGCTTTTATCTGACAGCATCAACTGCTTTCATTGCTCGCAATGAAATCATCCAAAAGTATATTGATCATTTGGGGAGGAAAAAGGTAAGAGTGTTCATTAACCTAACTAGTAAAAAACACGAAGAAAATATAAATTCACAAAGTAAGCAATGATTCATGGGAAATAACTACAGAGCAGTATATATAAAATGATTAAGTCAGGAGCAGTGGTACAAACATATAGTTTCAGACACTCAGGAGACTGAAGTAAGGAGAATAACTGAGCCCAGGAGTTCAAGGTCAGCCTGGGCAACATAGTGAAACACTTACAGAGAGAGGAAGAAAGACATAGAAGCAAATTGCCTTAAAAGAAACACACTTACAATCCCAGCTACTCAAGAGGCAGAGGTAGGAGAATCTCAGACTAAGGCTAGACTGGGCAAAAACTCAAGACCCTATATAAAATTAAACTAAAATCAAAAAGAGCTAGGGTTATGGTTACAGATCTTAGTCTTCACAGTTCTCTAGAGAAGGCTTGTTATTATCTCCATTGTATTATGACAAAACTGAGGGCAGTCAGGCACCAGTGGTTTGTAATCCTAGCTACTTGGGAGGCTGAGATTGGGAGGACCTCAGTTTGAGGCCAGCCTGGCCAAATAGTTTGAGAGACCCCATCTCCAAAAATAACCAGAGGCTGGGCTGGCAGAATAGTGCAAGTGGTAGAGTGCCTGCCTAGCAAGTGTGAAGTCCTGAGTTCAAACCCTAGTCTGAAAGAGAGAGAGACAGAGAGTAATGAGGGCAGCAAGGCTAAATACCTTGCACAAAATCATAATTAATAAGTGGTACAATCCAGGCGAACTCTAGTGAAATTCTTTACTAGTTTATTCAAGTACATTTATGCATTTCCTTTTTATATTTAAGTTTTGTTCCACCTACAATTTACTCTAACTACAGTGATCCCCTGTCCATCCAAAAACTCGGTTTTTTTTCTCTTTTGTTTGGCAGTACTTGGAGTTGAGCTAGTATGGTAGGCAGGCGTGCTATCATATGAATTGTACTTCCATCTCCCCGAACTCTTAATGAAGACCTTTTCCTCACTGATTTGAAATGGCCCTTCCTCATCTACCACAATTTCCCCCTCAGTGTTCTGTTTTATTGTTTGCAGCAGAATGCCTGAGAAAGAACATAATTTGCCACCATTTGGCTTTGCAAGAGGCACTGATACTTAAGTACAAATGAGAAACATTACTTTTTCATTTTAAATAAACATTTAAACACAAGTCTGAGTAGCAGAGGCCCATGCGCCTGCAATGTCATCATTCCCTTTCCTTCAGTGTTCCACACAGGGACTTACGGGTGCGAATGGTGAAAGGTGATGTCAATGAGCCTTCCCCAGTCCTGTACAAAATATGCCAAATATCCACGTTTTCCTGCTGCTTGTGTGTGAGACTCTTAAGTGTTTTGTCCTTGTTAAGAGTAGATATGCTTAGGACTGGGATGTGGAAGACTGCTGACCTAGCATGTGTGAGGCACTGAAGGGAAAAAAAGTAGGTACACTTATATCAGGATGTCTCAGCTTAGCACTACTAACGTATTGGGTCACATAACTCTTCATTATGATTAGAGGGACTTTACAGGTGTGATTTAATTAAGACTCCAGAAGACCCTGGATTATCTGAATGGGCCCAATGCAATCAGCAGGAGGCAGGTGGGTGAGAGTCACGAAAAGGAGATGTGGCCACAAGAAGAGGTTGGGCTGATAAGTGCTCTTTGAAGGTAGAGGAAGGGGCCATGAGCCAAGGTGTGCAGGTGGCTTCTGGTTTCTCTGGCAACTTTCACAAAACCAGGCTTAAGCTACTCCAGTAGTTTGGAAGATCCTAAATCTGTTAAAAACAAGGACTCATGCTGAAAGACAGTGATTTCTACATTTCCTCCAGTTCTCAGTGTTGGATTCAAAGCCAAGTTCTGACCCTGCTTCCAGGCAACATGATCTTTGTCATTCCCCAGACTTCTGTTTAGGAAAGTAATGGTGAAATGCTGGTGGAACCCTGACCTATCAAAGAACACCTGCTCCTTCTTGAAAAGAAAAAAGGGGGTAGTATAGTTTGGAATACACCTTCCAATTATAAGAGATTTGATAATGGTCAGGTGCCGCTTGCTCATGTCTGTAATCCTAGCTATTCAGGAGGCAGAGATCAGGTTCGAAGCCAGCCTGGACAACTAGTTCAAGAGACCCTATCTCAAAAAATACCCAATGCAAAACAGGGCCAGTGAAGTGGCTCAAGGTGTAGGCCCTGAGTTCAAGCCCCAGTACTGGAAAAAAAAAAAAGAGAGAGAGAGATTCAAAAACAAAGTTCTAAAGCATGTGAAGATAGTGTGAAAGATATGAACCTGCCACGACACTTTGCTTATGTTCTCTGTAAGGTTTTGGCCCTCAGAGGTGCATGACAGCCATTTTGGATATTTCTTAGGAAGCTTGAGAAAGACAGGAGGAAGGTGGAAGTCCAGCAAAGACAGTTTGTCTGACACATTAACTGGATGAGAACTTCTGATCATTTTTAGACAAAATTAAGTTAGTGGCAAAGAATTCAAGGACCCAGCTGGCATGACTTCCTTTACTGTAGTAAACACAGAGCATCATTTTTATGAATTTGAAGTTGTGCAATGCATAACTTGGAAAGCTGTACATAGCAGTTCTGTACCTTTGGCAATTCTCTTATCTAAAATACTGACTTCGGTTTCCTCCCCTCTGCAGATTGTTCCTTAAACTTCCTGGGCAGCTTCTGTCCTGCACCATTGGAGAATATGCCTGATTGTCCAACCATCCACCCTTGCAGAAGGCTTTGTGCCACTCATTGCACACAGACAACAGTGGGACAGAAGTGATGGATATTTTTTGACCCCACCAATGCATACATCCAGGAATAAAGAGTCTTCTTACTAAATGGCCTCTCTGGTTCTGATTATTTTTTTAAAATTCTGGATTTAGTTAAAAGCACCTTATAAGTTTCTTAGAATTCTAAAGTTACCATTTCATTTTTTCTTTTGATATTACATATTTGTGTGTTCCAGGTTGGGCAGGCATATTATTTCATCCATTCCTCTCTGGTTATGAAGTAGACATTACTATATGCATTTGTCTAAGATTCAGAGGTAATGTGATCTGCCTAAGGTCACACAGTAATTGACAGAGGCAGAATTTGGACCAGGTCCTTTGGACTTCAAAGTCCATTCACCCTCTGATCTCCAAACTGCCTCCCAATGTCACCTAGTTCTGTGCTGAGTACAGGGCAATATTAATTAAAACTAACATTTGTATTTTTAATATACAGTCTTCAAAAAAAGAATTTCTTATGCACTATTTCACTTAATGCTCATAATTAATAACCCTGAGAGGGTAGTATTAGTGTTATCCTTAGATTTAGATACAAAACACTGAAACATCAAAGAAGATAAATGAGACCAGTGCTGGTGGCTGATGCCTGTAATCCTACCTACTCAGGAGGCAGAGATCAGGAGGATCAGAGTTTGAAACCAGCCCAGAAAAATAGTTTGCGAGACCCTATTTTGAAAATATCCAACACAGAAAAGGGTTGATGGAGTGCTTCAAGTGTTAAGAGTGCCTGCCTAGAAAGCATGAGACCCAGAGTTCGAACCTCAGTGCCGATCCCCCCAAAACAAGGAAGATAAAGGACAAATAGATATCAAAGAAAAGCGAGAATCCAAATGCAAGTCTTTTCTCAGTACTTCCTTTTCTGTTCAGTGAGATTCTGCCTCACTGAACCTTTATTTGATATGCAGCGTATGAGCAGGGCTGAAAGGCTGGGAAAACACTTTTTTCAATTCTAACAGCCTGTAGTCTGGTCCACACTGAAATACTATTTGTGCAGGGACTTTTTACTGAGTACCTGGTCCCTGCCAGGCACTGGAGATACAACTGCGAACAAAGGCTTTCTCAGTTCCTGAACTCATGGAGCTTACATTCCTGTGCAGGAAACATTTTCAGACAGGGATGGGTGCTACAAGTCACTGAGTAGCGAATAAGGAGGAGATGAATTTAGGTAGAGTGATCCGAGATGGCGTTTCTGAGAGGATAACACTAACTGAATGGGTGAATGCAAGAAGAGCAACCCACAGACGATTTATCTAGGGTTTGCTGGCCATCGGACCATTGTGACTCCGATGCGGAATACCCGCCAAATCTTGCGTTGGTGATGCCCAAAGAGTGAGGAGAGAAGCATAAGGAAGACTCCTTTTCCATTCTTTTTATTCCTCTGACTGCCTTTCCCGTCAGGGTCAATCCTCCCCCCGCCCCCACTACCACTCCCAACTTTCTCTGTCCGGACACTTCCGGGCTGCGCATGCGCAAGAGAAAGTCATTCGCAGAGGACGGCCGGGATCCTCCCGCAAGACGCATGCTCTCCTGGTCCGCAAGCTCCGCCCCGCCCCCGCGCTTGCTCGCGAGCGCCTGCCGTTTCTCTGGGCGGGGCAGTGGGCGAGGAATGGGTGGGGCGACGCGCGCCGGTGCGTGCGTGCGCGCGCGCCGCGGGCGGGCCAGTGGAGCCGGCGGCCCTGGCACGTGATCTGGGACCGGCAGTGTCGCTCGGTAGCTCGGTCTGTCTGTCCGTCCGCGGGTGCCATCATGGCGGACGCGGCCAGTCAGGTGCTCCTGGGCTCCGGTCTCACCATCCTGTCCCAGCCGTTCGTGTACGTGAAAGTGCTCATCCAGGTATGAGTCGTCGCCATTCCCTTCCTCTCCAGCGCCCTGTTGGGTCGCCACTACCCACGGCGCCCTGAGGATCGGCTCCAGCCTCCGCAGGCCTTCATCCTCCCCAGATGCTGCCCCTCTTCTGCTGCCCTGGCCCTCCCCGCAGGAACAACTTCCGCGGTCCCGCGACCCCCCATCTTGGGCCTCCCCTTCCGGCGGTGGGACCGGCTCTTTCTCCCGTAGCCAACTGCCACCCTACCCTACCCGAGCCTCCTCTGAACTTTGTTTCCCTAACCTGAGGTTGGTCCTGGCCGGCCGCCACCCAGAGCTTCCCAGCCCTTCCCTTTCGCCCCTTTCAAATTAGCATTCACCTCGTCTCGCTCCCTCTCCCCCCCAAAAAAAATTCCAAACGCCAGACGGTAAATAATTAATTGAAGACAAATTTGAAATTAGAGAACAGCCAACATTTTACTCTTTTTATTCGCCTTTCTTTCTTCTTTTTTTGCTACTGACAATTCTGTTCAGAGATTCTAGCACCGGATACCCAGATAAACACAAGGAGCTCATTCAGAAGTAATAATGAACTCAAATTTCTGAAGGGTCCATTGAGTGCTCTCCAGCAGCAGTCCATGTGGTTCATGACAAGGACAACCACGTTTGTCCGAACTGGAAATCAGTTTAACGCAGAGTTTGGACGAGTTTAAACATGAGCATGAAACTCCCGAATGTCTAGTCTTGCTTCCCCCTAGTTAGTTTCTAATCTGTAAAATAAGTCTTAAATGGTATTTTATATTCACGGGCAAGCAGGCCACGTTTTAGCTGATGACAGACAGATTTTCAATTGCTTTTCAAGTTTCCCTGTTATGATCAAGTCACTTTTTTTTGACATTAATCGAGGGTTGACATAATTAACTTATGTGTGCTAAGGAAGAACCCCTGACCTCACTGTTTACCTTTTTGTAAAAAATACGCAAGACATTGGGAAAGACTGCATTTCTTATTGAGTTGTAACTAATCCAAGTTATTTGTTGCTGAGTTGATCCTAGAACAAAGACTTTGAAGTGTACTGTGATGTCTAAAACAGAATTGGCACATGTGGAACTAGATTACATCTGAGATGACTGCATTTTGCAGAACATCTAGTATGAATTCATTGGTTCTACAGAAAGTAGTGTTTTTTAGTGATATTCAGAGCTCTTACCTCAAAAACTTGAATATCTTTAGTTCTGATTTCGCAACATCTGTGTGTTGCCAAGTATCTCGGGTTTCGGTGAAATTCCCAAATGCTCAGTTTTTTAAATAGTTGCATGGTGGTGCTTTTAGGGAACTCACACAGGAGTTATTAGAACAGATTGAGGAATTGCAACAATGGAGAGTCATTCTTCCAACTATGCCTTGAGCACTAGGAATCATGAATATATTATAAAAATAAAGTGGTAAGCAGTCTGTTCATATAACTTGAATCTAGCTTGTAATTATTTCCTAAGTGAGTTATCCAGCTATAGCTGCATTTGCGGGGTTTTTTGTGGTTTTGTTTGGTGGGACTGAGCTTTGAACTCTGGGCTTCTCACTCTCAAAGCAGGTGCTGTACTGCTTGAGCCACACCTTCTGCAGTTGCCTTTTAAATGTATTGTCTAGCTTAGTATTATACTGGCTTAGTGAATATCTTCTCATTTTGTTCAAATGTAAAAAGTGCCCTAGATTTTCTTTCTTCCTCAGGAAACTAGCTTTCCCAACACAAAAGTTCTCTTATTCTATTTCCAGTTTGATTTTAGTCTATATTAGCTACATGGTTTACTTCACGAACTTTGAACCAAAAGGCAACGTGAAGTTTCTTGAACTCAGTCTTAATCAACTTGACAGAAAAAAAAACTGATAAGGGCTTGGAAGTGCCTCAAGTAGTGGAGCAAGCATGGGGCTCTGAGTTAAACCAGTACCACCAAAAAAAAAAAAAATTGATAAGGATGGTATTGGAAAACAGAATTTTCACTTGTGTTAAAAATTATAAGCCTGGCGGGTGGAGTGACTCGTGGTAGAGTGCCTGCCTAGCAAGAGCCCCTGAGTTCAAACTCCAGTGTGGCCAGCATGGGGTGGTTCATACCTGTAATCCCAGCTCTTGGGAGGCTGAGGCAGGAGGATCATGAGTTTGAGGCCAGATGGACTATATAGTAAGACTTTGTTGCAAAAATTTAAAGCAAGAAGGCAACAGGGGAGGGGGGATGACTGCACCCCAAGCGAGTGCTGGACACCTGTCCCTGAGGGCCACGCCCTCCCCCATCCATTAAAAAAACAAAAATTAAAGCCAGATTTTTTTATTTATTCAAGATCTTGCAGCCAAGGCATTATTGGAAATATTCTTAGTTTTGCTGTGTTCCTTTGTTTTTAAAGGTGGGATTTGAGCCTCTTCCTCCAACAATAGGACGAAATATTTTTGGGCGGCAAGTATGTCAGCTTCCTGGTCTCTTTTGTTATGGTAGGTGTCTTTGATTTGTTTGGGCTTGGATGACATTGAGGACTATGATAGGTCGGAGTTACTGAAAAAATATATAGAAGTCATGTTGCCTTAAAATTTCTTTGTAACCATGTCTTTGGACTAGAACCTAAATCTCTGACTTGTGTTCTTAGCTCAGCACATTGCAAGCATTGATGGGAGGCGAGGGTTGTTCACAGGCTTAACTCCAAGACTGTGCTCAGGAGTCCTTGGAACTGTGGTCCATGGTAAAGTTTTACAGGTAAGAGGAAAATCAATTCATCCTCCCATAAATTTTGGTTGCCTTTTGTGCACAGTTTATTCTACTTTGAGAGCAATTATATTTATGACTCTAGTCTTTTTTCCCAGGAAATGAGGAATTTGTCCAAAATGAAGTAATTGATTTTGGCCTATATGAACTTCGTCCGAAACAGTCATTTTGAGCAGAAATTACTCACTTGTGATCACCTGAACAGCTCAATTTATTTCTTTGGAGGAGGAAAGAAGCTGATTAAAACATACACTTTTTTCCTGAAATTATTCTTTTTTTTTTGATTTCTAGTATTAGTGAAACGCTTTTTAAAACCTGCCAGGCACCAGTGCTCACACCTGTAATCCTAGCAAGGCAAAGACTGTGAGAAGTATGGTTTGAGGCCAGCTTGGACAAATAGTTTATGAGATCCCATCTCCAAAATAATCAGAGCAGGGGCTGGGGGCATGGCTCAAGTGGTAGAGGGCCTACTTAGCAAGCACCAGGCCCTGAGTTCAAACCCCATTATTTCCAAAATAACCAAAACAAAAATGGACTGGAGGCATGGCTGAAGTGGTGGAGTGCCTGCTTTGCAAGTGTTGAAGCCCTGGGTTTAAACTCCCAGTTCCACCAAAAAAAAAAAAAAAAAAAAAAAACCATTTAAAAAAGAGCTATGGCTAGCAAGTGCAAGGCTCTGAGTTCAAATCCCAGTACTACAAAAATAAATAACCTAAAAAAAAAAGAGCTTAGTGGGGGTAGGATAGGGGAACGGGCGCAAACAGTGTATACACATGTGAGTAAATGTAAAGTGATAAAAAAAATAAGCATCAAAATATAAAAAGAGGTTGCTTAGCAGTTGTGGATGTAGCTCAATGGTAATGGTTGCCTAGCATGTGCAAAGCCCCCAATACCAAAAAATAAGAACTTACATGAAAAGGAAAAAGGGTCTATTTGAGTTGTCTAGGTAATGGCAATGACTTTTCTTGACTTGGGTCATGACTTTATGGATATCTGCCTTTTGTATTTATTGTGTTGTCCATTTCTGTTTTGTGCAGTATTATGTTTATGTATTATATAAATTTTTAAAGTTTAGAAAAATACCTAATCAGGGCTGGATACATGACTCAGTCAGGAGAGCACCTGCCTTGAAAGTGTGAAGCCCTGAGTTCAAACCCCAGTCCCACCAAAAAGAAAGAAAGAAAGTGATCAAATTGAACATCAATGCAGAATAGTGGTTACTTTTGAAAGGAAAGTGTTGAGGGGTAGAACTTAAGTTCTGTTGGTAGGGCTTTAAATAGGCCAGGGATATTGGAAAAATGTTAAGGGTTCATGGAGGCCTTCCAGGCCATCTGCATATGTGTATCTAGGGGACCTGGGCATAGCTCAGCACCCTCACACTATGTTCCTCTGCTGCCAGGACCTGGGACATTGTGTCAGGGCAGCCTTTCCGCACAGTGCAGTGCCCAGCCCTTGAAGGGCATTGTGCCTTGGTGGTAGGTACATAGGTGAATTAACTTTTTCTCTGCATGTTTGAGGTGTTTGATTTGTTGTTGCAAATGTCAGGTCAAAAGTGATGGAAAGGAATAGGGCTTCGGGTTACTTCCCTTAAGGCCTCTCTCACAATGGCTGCCCTGCCAGACCCCAGGTCCCAGCACCAGCTGGTGGAAGTTTTGGTGGCATGGAGGATGGCAGTGGCAAGGAAGGAGATCTGGGGCACATTTTAGGGGTTGACGAGGTCCTCTTGTGGCTTCTACCAGGTGCTGTTCCTATTCAGCTGCTGTCTTTCAACTCAGTGCTATTCTTAAGATGGAGGCTGAGCTGGATACTGGGCAGCCTGGCCTGCATGAGATGCAGGAGCCTGCTGACCTGAGCTTGGACACTGGCTTGGAACAACTGTTTAGTATCCTACTCAAATACCCCAGACCCAAGAGTTCAGTGACTGCTGTTTATCAGCTTCGTGGGCACTCCTAGCCATGTTTCAAGTCTTCACGAACTTGAGTGACCCAAATGAAGTGAACAACTGTTAGGTTCTGAATTTGCCTCCATGCTCCACCAGAGCTCCCAACATCTTGGAGGCCTTCCCAGACAGGCTCGGCCACACCAGGACCATGGTTAACATCTCATCCCTCTCTGCTCTGCAGCCCTTCAAGGACTGGGCATTGCACTGTGCAGGGAAGACTGCCCCAGACACTATGCCTCAGGTCCTGGCAAGAGAGGAAACAGTGTGAGTGTGCTGAGCTATGCCCCAGGTCACCAGGACTCACACATGCAGCATTTGGCCTGGGAGGCCTCTGTGGACCCAGACTTTGCAAAAATGATTGAAGGAACTAAAGACAAAGACTGGGATGTCAGCCCAGAAACTGCTTCGCTATCTGCAAAAGGACGTTTCAATCTGGAGCCGATGGGGACTTATAAGTAAGCCCATGTCCTTGGCTTCTTCGTTCTTTCTGCCCCCAGATCTTGCCATAGTGGCCCTTACAATCCTGCCTAATAATAAGGCACTCATGCTTACTGTCCTGTTCTAGACCCAGACAGCTGGGAGGCCTTGGGGTGGCTGGAGTCAACCAGTTGTCTGGAGTCTGTGTGCAGGCTGGGTGACAAGAAGGCAAGCGAAAGAGGTTATGGGTTTTGCTGTTCCATGTCCCCAGGAATAGAACTTGGGATGGGAAGAGCAGGAAAAGAAGATGAAATGATAGAGAAGTTTGGGTTTCTTGCCTGTAGGAAGAGGAGAGAGTGATCTGGTATTAAGAAGAACCTATGTTCACAGATGTCCTGGAGGGAAGGGAGGACAACACAAGTTCTGACCCACACAGGTGCCCCTTGCTCAGAATAGCAGGATATCCTGCTGAACTTCTATGTTCACATTCTGATGCCTCCTTCCTCCAAAACCCACTGTCCTTTCCTACATTGGGAGTTCACGCATGTGGCAAAGGCAGATATAAATAAAATGTGCATCATCCTTCCAAAAAATAAAAATTACCAGGCCAGATGTGGTGGCACACATCTATAATCCCAGCAGGAGGATTGTGAGTTGCATGCCAGCCTGGGCTACACAGACGTGTCTCAAAACAGAAAAACTACATCAAAGTTAGATTTGTTCGTTTCTTAGTGATCCTTTTAGCCAGCTTCTTTTAACTACTTTTTTTTGGGGGGTGGGGAGCCAGGGCTGTTATTTGAATTTAGGACTTACTACTTGCAAGGCAGGAAGTAGCCTGAGCCACACCCATAGTCCATTTTGATCTGATTACTTTGGAGATGGGAGTCTCGCAAACTGTTTGCCCAGGCTGACCTTGAACCTCAATCCTCCCAATCTCAGCTCCTCAAGTAGCTAGGATTCTAAATGTGAGACACCAGTGCCCAGCTTCTTTTTACTTCTAACCTAAAACCTTGTACTATTATTTTGATTGTACTGTTTTTTCAGTTGCACCTATTAGAACGTAGGTCATGCCGAATTAACTTTTAAGGTAGTCTTAGTATTTAGAAAGTGTTTCTGCAGACAAAATTGTCCTTTGCTATGTTCATAAATGTGTTATGAATGAGAATTTTGGCCTGGTGCCAGTGGCTCACGCTTACAATCCTAGCTACTCAGGAGGCAGAAATCAGGAGGATCACGGTTTGAAGCCAACCTAGGAAAATAGTTTGCAAGACTCTATCTTGAAAATAACCAACACACACACACAAAAGGCTAGTGGAGTGGCTCGAGTGGTAGAGTGCCTGCCTAGCAAGTGTGAGGCTCTGAGTTCAAACCCCTGTACCACCACCAAAAAAAAAGTAGGAACCCTAGGCTGTGTTTTTACCAACATATTTTCCATTAAACATGGATGTTTAGATATGGTAGAGTGGCTCAAGCAATAAGAGTGCCTGCCTAGCAAGCATGAGGCTGTGAGTTCAGATCCCTAGTGCCATCAGAAAAACATGTACGTTTAGAAAATATTGTTCTTAGATTTTCTTGTTTGTTTTCCTTTTTTTGATTGGGGTTGTTTTGTTTGTCTATTGTTCACTTATCTTTTGCAATACTGGGGATTGAACCTAGGGTCTTGCTCATGCTAGGTAAGCATTCTGTGACTGAGCTACATCTCAGCTTTTTTGCTGTAGTTGGTACTGGGGTTTGACCTCAGGGCCTTCACGCTTGGTAGGCAGGTGTTTTACTACTTGAGCCACTCCACCAGCCCTTTTTTTTATTGAGTATTTTCAAGGTAGGGTCTCATGAACTATTTGCTTGGGTTTGCTTTGAGCCTTGATCCTCCTGATCTCTGCCTCCTGAGTAGCAAGGATTATAGGTGTGAGCCACCAGCACCTGGCCCCTTTTTTTTTTAATAAAAAGAGTTTTCACGAGCACTTGCTTATTCTTCAAGGTGACCAATATGTTAAACTTTGTGATAAAGTCATCTTAGAGACATTTATTTCTAATCGATTAATTAGGAGTAGAAATTAATTAGCAGAAAAAAAATCAGCTGTTTTCTATCAATAGTCTTCATTTTATGCATTTTCACATATAACATATTAATAGCACTAATCATTCTTTCTTTTCATTTCTTCTGTAGCATTACCAGGAGTGTGACAAACCTGAGGTATGTTGAAGGTGATTTTTATGTGTGATCCCCTTTCTCTAGCAAGTTATTGCCAGTTGCGCCCTTTTAGGAAAAAGCCAAGTAGTTTTCCTTTAATTTCAGTGGAGTGTTGACTTATGGGGTGACCAACAGTTTGAACAATTCTATTTAAAGTCACAAGATCTCTTAACTTCTTGATTTTTATTTCCAGGATTCAGGATCTGGAAATATACAAAAAGAAGGCTCATCTTCCTTTGACCGAGTTATCAAAGAGGTGAGAAATACATAATATCTCTTTCTGTTTCACTGGATCAAACTGTAAGTAGTCTGGCAACTATGGAATCAGAATAAGGCCTGTAATTCTGTGTCTGTTCCCAAATGAGATTAAGCCTTCAATTTAAACTGGGCCTTCTGCCAGGCATGGTGGTACACATCTGAAATCCCAGCACTTGAGAGGCAGAGGCAAGAGGAAGGCCAGCCTGGACTACATAGTACTTTTAAGGCAAGCCTGGGCTAACATAGTGAAACTCTGTCTCAGAAAACAAAAATCTAGGGCTGGTAGAGTGGCTCAAGCAGTAACAGTACCTACCTAGCAAGTGTGAGGCCCTGAGTTCAGACTCCAGTGCCATCAGAAAAAAATCCTTGGACTTGTGTAAATTAAAAAAACAATCAGACTGGAGGCATGGCTCAAGTGGTAGAGCACCTGCCTAGCATCCCCAAGGCTCTGAGTTCAAACTTCAATATTGTCATTAAATAAAAATAAACCTTTAAGAAAAATCAAAAAACAAAATAAAATAAATTGGACTTTCCTACTTGTATAACCTAAACAGAGAGAGGAGCAGTGCTTGCTGTTTGGAATAGGTGCAATTCAGGGAAAATCATTTTGCCCATTCTTTAAACATCGAAGTGGTTTTTACTGAAAGTTTCTTGTTATTGTTGAAGTACTAGAGACTGAACCCCGGACGTCTTGCTCACTAGGCAAGTGCTCTACCACTTAAGCTAGCCCTGTCTATCTTCTAATAGTGTTGAAAACCTTTAGCACAGAAGCATCCAGGTCCTTTGCATGTTACGTTATTTATCCAGAGATTCCTTCGTGATATTATTCTGACTCTGAAATGTTCCTTATCTCTCATTTCCTACACCTACTTTTTTGCCATTGGAATTTCTCTCATGCCTGGCTTTCAGAACTACTCTTACAAGGGGATGTAACTCAGTGGTAGAGCACTTGCCTAGCATACACAAGGCCCTGGGTTCTATCCCCAGCATTTCAAAAAAAACAAAAACTTTCTGAACCACTCTTACTTCTTAGTCTTCACATTTTGTATTTACCTAAAGACAAGTCACTTCTGCCTCCTCCCCCTTAAAAAAGAAAAAGAAAAAGGGATGTAATAATGGGCACTTTATATTTTTTTAACTTGAGCTAGGCCATCCTGGTCCACAGGATCTCCTCATAGTCACTATTAGTATGGGAGTGAAGGATGTCTTAACTCAGTGACTGAAGACTCTGTCAATGCAAAAGTGAATGACAACCCTGCTACATTTTCAACCCCAGGACCTACCTCTAAGTATTATAATTTAATTTTCTTTATTACATCCTTACTGAGTCCTAGACTAGAAACATATAAGATAAATACAGTAACTCATAGTTACAGGGATGTGATCGAAAAACAAATCAGAATTGTTCTGTTCTCCCTGAGATGTTGGTACAGATTACATAGAGACTGACATTTGTCTAGCGTAGATATCAGAGTCTCTTAGAAATTACTCACAATAACAGAGCAGTTTCAGAATCTAGATACACAGCTGGGCACTGTGGCTCATGTCTGTAATCCTAGCTACTGAGGAGGCAAAGATCAGGAGGATTGCTGTTAGAAGCCAGCCAGGGCAAATAAATTCGAGAGACCCTATCTCAAATACCTAACACAAAAAGGGCTAGTGTAGGTGGCTCAAGGTGTAGGCCCTGAGTTCAAGACACAGTACCAGAAAAAAAAAAAAATCTAGATACAGACTTCTTAATTTTATTCCAGCTGGTGACCCTCTCTGTTTCTTTGCTTTTTTTTTTGGTCTTATGTGTGAAATTGGGGAAACAACAAATCTCCTTTGCAGAGAGATATCTAAAAGTAACTTCAACAATTAAAATCTTGAGTAAGAGGTGTGATGGAATTACAGAATATTATATCACATCCCATTCAAACTACTCTTCCTCACTCCAGGACAGGAAAGCTATGATGAACAGTTTCTTATCCTATACTGCTATGTCCACTGACAGGAATTTGAGTGTTACTTATTTAGATTTCAGAAGTGTGTGTTAATTGTTTCTAGACAACTCGAGAGATGATTGCTCGTTCTGCTGCTACTGTCATCACACATCCCTTCCATGGTATGTTTTCACTTGTTAACTGAATTCTGATTTCTTGTCTTTCATAACTTGATCTCTCCAGGCCACTTAGATAAATTGACATAGGATTTGACTGACGTGCTTTGCCTGAATGTTTTTTTCTTTTTTTTTTTGGCGGTACTGGGGTTTGAACTCGGGGCCTCATACTTGCTAGGAAAGCCTTTACCACTTTTCTCTATTTTTTCCAGATAGCAGAATGTCTTTAGATGGAAAAACCCTTTTCTTTTTCTTTTCTTTTCTTTTTTTTTTTTTTTTAGGCTATCAAAATCTTTATCAACATAGTTTTAAGAATCTTTTCTCTGTGTTCTACAGTGATCACTCTGAGATCTATGATACAATTCATTGGCAGAGAAGCCAAATACTGGTAAGCATTTTGTTTTTAAGAACTCAAGGTGATCCATTGAAAGCAAAATAGTAGAGCATTCCTGCTTCACATTTTTATGAATCCTTTTGTCATTTAACTTGGGCAAAGCCATAAGTAAGAACAAACAGGCTCAGGCAGGGTTAGGAACCTACCCAGGACCACAGAGGAAATCGCAGAGCCACTGAGGCCAAATTCACCCTGAACTTTATGTACCAGACCCTTAGTAGCTAGTGTCTTCACTTTCTCTGAATTTCACTGTGCTTACAGAGGGAGGGACTGTTCGGAAGTGGGGGGAGGGCGCCTTGAGATGTAAATTTGACTTTGTCAAAAATGATCATTGAAATCACTTTCTTGAGCCTGGCGCTGGTGGCTCCCACCTGTAATCTTAGCTACTCAGAAATCACTTTCTTGTAACTCCTGAATGATCTTAATGTACTTTACCTTTCCTTCTCGTGTGCCTAGTGGACTTTGTGACTCCATAGCAACCATCTATCGGGAAGAGGGCGTCCTAGGATTTTTTGCGTGAGTAAATGTTGACTTGTCTGTATGTGAGTTTGTGTGAGTAGAAAAGCTTTCTTGAAAGAGACAAAGGCTCTTTCTTTAGTCCTTGGGGAAAACATACTCCCCAGGCATTTTACTTAACGATGAACTTCGCTTAACCCCTGCTGACTTGTTTCTTGCTGTAAACATCCCAAACCTTTGCTCTCCTAAATATTTTAAACGTTTGAAGTTAGAATTTTGTTTTGCTTTTTAACAAAAAGTTATTTCAAATTTCTACCTTTATAGCAAGTTCCCAATTACATACAATTAGTAAAAGAAAAACTAATTTTTTTGCATTCACTTTTACTATTACTTAATTTTTTAAAATTTAATTGTGTGTATCTATGAAGAACAGCATGGTGTTTTGGTGGGGGAACTCAGGGTCTCAAGCTTGCTAGGCAGACACTCTACCACTTGAGCCACACCTCAGCCTAAAAAACTAATTTATTTAATGATGTGTATTTTTTTTATCCTGAGAGAATTCATTTTTGCAAGACTTGAATTTGCTTTGGTAGAACTTAGACTCTCATACTCATTCTTTTTTGATTTGTTTTTGTTTTCTTATTTATTACACTCATTCTTCTAACAGAAACTTCTGTCATTAACTAAATGGTCCTTTTTAGTTTTCAGAATGTTTCCACTTGATTTTTTTTTTTTTTTGAGACAGGTTCTCATATGTAGCCCAGGCTGACCTTGAACTCCTGCCTCCGCCTTCCCCTTCTGAGTTCTGGGATCACAGGCATGCACCACCATGCCTGACCCACTTTTCTCTTTTTGAGTATCATAATAAGTATTCTGGCAAATAGGTAAGGCTGCTATTATTTTAGAGATTAAAAAAAGGCATTGATGCTCAGGGATATTCATTTGCTGCCTGCCCCATGCTGATAAATGATGGAGCTGGCATTTGAACTCTGGTCTTGAGTCTGTAGCGTAATGTCCTTCCCACTGATCCATGCTGCATTTCCTAGGTCACCCAGACCCTAGAAACATTTCTTGATGTTTTTCATCTATATCTGTTTGGATCATTCTCACTTGGTAACTTTTCTCTTCTGCAAAAAATTCTTCCTTACAAATCTTTGGCTTTCCTGCTTATAACTATTGATAATAAGGTGAGCCATGCTGTAGTTCAGACCTGCATTTTTAAAAATAGGAACAGGGCTGGAGGCATGGCTCAAACAGTACAGCACCTGCTTAGCAAGTCCACGGCCCTGAGTTCAAACCCCAGTAATGCAATAAATAAATAGTAAAAAAAAAAGGAGAAGGAAGAAAAGGAAGAGGTTAGCCTCAGATATAGTTGTGTTAAGTAGACTGACTGAACTTTGTATGGGGTCTAGATTCTGGGATTTTTTTTTTTTTTTTTTTGGTCTTTTCATTCCTATAGAATGTTTTGAAATCGCTAATAGTGTTTGTATTAAGTGAATTATCACATTTTTTGGTATTTATTTTTATTGTGTCTTCATGTAGGGGTCTAATTCCTCGCCTCCTAGGTGACATCATTTCCTTGTGGCTCTGTAACTCACTGGCCTACCTCGTCAATACCTATGCACTGGACAGTGGGGTAGGTTGTGACCTGGGTGAGATGTACTGTGTGGGTTTTTTCTGTATTCACTATTTTAGTTGAAAGTAAAGATTTTAATATGCCAGATAGAACATTATTTAGCTAAAAATTATCAGGTGATTCTCAAAGGTTAATGGAATGACCATACTGTTTTCTGTAGAGAGATGCACTTATAAATCCCTAAGGTGTTGACTGAGTTTGCTCAAGAGATCTAGCCCTGTTACTGTTCAGGGCTTCAAGGATATCACTTCTTTGTTGATTCCTGATTTTGAGAACACAGTGATGCAGAGGAGGTACGTGGGGTCTTCCACATTTCTGGAGTATTAGGCTTTTTAGAATCCTCAGCCTGAGAGATTTTGAGAGCCTTTGCTGGAAGTTGTTTCCTTTGTCTAAGCAATTGTGGGGCCTGTTTGTGCATAGACAACTCTGTCACATGGTGAAAAATGGAATACAGTCAAGGAGTATATGACTAAACCCTAATGTAAACTTTTTTTTTTTTTGTAGTTCTGGGGTTTGACAAACTCACAGCTTCATGCTTGCTAGGCAGGTGCTCTACCACTTGAGCTGTTTTTGTTTTTGCAGTACTAGGGGTTGGAATGCCACCTACACCTTGAGCCACTCCACCAGCCTTTTTTTTTCCCTTTGTGAAGGATTTTTTTTGAGATAGGGTCTTGTGAACTGTTTGCCCAGGCTGGCTTTGAACCATGATCCTCCTGATCTCTGCCTCCTGAGTAGCTAGGATTACAGGTGTGAACCACCAGCACCTGGCAGCTTCTTGAGTATAGTACTGGAGCTTCTCCAAAGTGTTCGTTACAAAGCTGACTGTATACAGTGGTAGTGAATCGTCTCTTGGATATATTGTAAAGTTTTCCAGGAACTGTTTTTCTAAGTCATGGTAAAGGGTTTACCAATTTCACTTACTTTTGTTTTGAAATAAATGAGTTTGTCAGTCCTGAGTCAGGTTGGTCATTTTGACTGCTGCCTTTTTATACTCACAATCAGTGTTTTATGTTTTTATCCACAAAATTAATTTTCATGCTGTCAAACTGCTAATTTAGAAAATAGAATATATTGTTATGCTTGTGGACAACTAACGTACTATTGGCTTAATCTCCTGATTCATTCTGATAGAGGCTCTTTTCCTGTTTCAGGTTTCTACCATGAATGAGATGAAAAGTTATTCCCAAGCTGTCACAGGAGTGAGTTTTTTTAATCCTCTTAACCTTCTAGGGATAGTTATTTTGTTTTTCTTTTAAATCTGGCCTGCTTAATCATTGCTTTAAAGCCTCCAGATACGTCGCTAGGAAATCTCCCTGAAATGTGTTAATGTTTATCCAAGGTAAGAATAACATAGTTGTGCCTCACAGCAGCAATACAGCCCACCTGGTCTGATATGTGTGAGCAGCTTCACTCTGTATCCTGGTCATCCCACTCTGGAGAACGTCACCCTCCTTAATCACTATAGTCTTGCAATAGCTAGGATGACTGACCGCATGCCACCACACCCAGCTAATAGTCGGCTTTTATAGTAGTTGACATTGTAATTGAAGAAATGGTCCTGCTCATATTGTCTTGTTTTCGTCAGGAATGTTTCATTTGTATTGGTTATGCTTATTTTTCCTCCTAAGTAATGTAGTTCAGGTTTATTTCAATAAGGAATCAGTCTCAGGATAAGAGTCTTCTGGCCCTTTGTTAAAATGTTGGCTGTAGGGGTATATTATGTGGAAGAAGCATCTCCAGGCTCAAAAATATCCCCCTGGGGTACTGAGAAAGCAAGATCAACATTGGCATATTTGACCATTATGATAGTAGGCCTTTGAGGGAGAGGAAAGAAGAGTATAAGGACAACTAATAACATGGTTTGGTTTTTTTGTTTTTGTTTTTGATTGTCTTACAGTTTTTTGCCAGTATGTTGACCTATCCCTTTGTGCTTGTATCTAATCTTATGGCTGTCAACAACTGTGGGTAAGTACTTTGTATTCTTTTTTTTTTTCGCAAGTGGGGGGAAGGGAGGGGAGTGTGAAGTGGGGGGGTGGGTTGGGGGGAATTGAACTCAAGGCCTCACACATGCTAGACAAATATTTTACCACTGAGTTATAGTCCTAGTCTCTGGTTTTGGGGGCACAGGGCCTCATGCTTGCTGGCAGGCGCTTGAGCCACTCCAGCAGCCTTTTTTTGTGATGGGTTGTTTTTCAAGATAGGGTCTCTTGAAGTATTTGCTCGGGATTGGCTGCAAACCATGATCCTTCCTCTTGAGTAGCTAGGATTACAGATGTGAGCCACTGGCACCCGACTAATAATGGACCTTTATTTTTTGAGTGCTGGGGATGGAACCCAAGTCCTCTCGAGTGCTAAGCAGGAGCTCTGTCACTGAGCTATGTCCCCACGAGTTTCTTGAAAATTTTTTCAGGAGGAAGTGGTTATGGATTATACCCAAGTAGGAGCATATAGTCAGCAATACTTACATCTGTTGGTGTATTTGTGGACACAGTTAATTTGTTAATCCCCTTTCCCTTTCACAGCAGTTATGGAATTGCCTGTGTTCTAGGGTTTCATTTGTCCACTAATGAGAAACCTAAATGTAGAAAACATGACTGAAGTTTTTGTTCATTTGTTGATTTGAAATTTAAGTGTGGGATGCTTCATCTTTCTCTCCTGTGGTATAATTTGCTTCATTAGAACCAAAACTGTTGGACTGGCAGAGTATTGCAAATGGTAGAGGGGTGCCTAGCAAGTGTGAGGCCCTAAGTTCAAACCACAGTACCCAGTACACACACACCACCACCACCCTCCCCCCCCCAAAAAAAAAAAAAGTACCCAAACTACCTCTGGAACCATCAGTATAGGGAAATGTTTTGTCAAGATTTATCAAACTCATGATGGGTTGGAGGCACGGTGGTAAAGTGCCTGCCTTAGCAAGCACAAAGACCTGAGTTCAAACGTCAGTACTGCCAAAAAAAAATGGGTGATCAAACTCTCTTGAGAAAGTGTTTTGTAGATACTAACATGAATAACTATTTTTTTTTTCCATTTCAGGCTTGCCGGTGGATCCCCTCCTTACTCCCCAATATATACTTCTTGGATAGATTGCTGGTGCATGCTACAAAAAGAGGTATTTGTCACTCTCTCATTTTGCTTTTGTTTGTTTGTTTTCTTAAATAATGTCTCAGTGATCTCAGCTGTTAACTCTTACAGCTCACTCTTTAATTGCTAGTTAACACACCCTTTTGGGTGGGTGAAGGGGAGATGACATAAACAATGTACACATATGTAAGTAAATGTAAAAATGATAAAATAAAAAGAGAAAGAAAGAAAGAAAAAACCCACCCTTTACAGTATTCTACATATCACTCTAATAGTAGAACTGATGCTTAGAAACATTGGCGGGGTTAACAGTTAAGAATCCCTAGATGCGAACTGAAAGCCATTTGAGTGATCACATTCAAATTACAAAAGGATCCAGGTAGATGGTTATTCTAGTTACTTAAATGATGGCCTTGACCTCAAAATTTTTTTTCAGACTCATCTTTATTTTGCTGCTGGGGATTGAACCCAGGTCCTCACGTTTGCGACGCGTGTGTGCTAAGCCCTGGGCTACTGGGCTATCCTCCCAGCCCCTCAAACTTACCTTTTTCTTGTTTTTTAAATCCTCAGAATCTTCTTACATATTCAAGTGTTTTCATGTAGTTAGGATGTGGGATGAAAGATAGATTTTTTTTTTTTTTTGGTAGTAAAGGGTTTTGAATTCAGGGCTTTGTGCTTGCTTGCTAGGCAGAGGCACTTGAGCCATGCTTCCAGCCCATGAAATTATTTATGATGAATTTTTGTCACAGTGATTCTTACAGAGCTGGTCACTTACTTCTACAGTTTTGTTAGTAGATGATTTTGTCCAGACTCCAATTTATTGCTTGTTATTGCTGGAAGGAATATCATCTGCACCCAGACATTTTAGATTGGTCTAGCAAAGCTTTATTAGAAGCTAAAATAATGAATGTACTGTGGACTAAATTTATCATGGGATTGTTTAAAATGACCATCAGTTTAAAGCTGTTTTTGAGTAGGAAGCATTTGTTCAAAAATTTTGCAGGAGAAAGTAAAGAAGCTCTTTGTTGCATTATTTTACAGCTTACTGATACATATGAAAGACCTTTGTCCACAAAGCTCAGGCTCTCCCAAACTGTATACTCTGAAAGAAAAGGCCTAGGTGTTGCTGTAGTTGCTTTTGCTCAAAGTACACATGCTACTCTGTGAATCCAAGCTAGAACCCTTGAATGATTTCGGTATAAACCTACAGATGTACAGTGAACATTCTGTTTCATTCTGAATTTTACACTTTTTTTCCAGTGCTAGGCATCGAACCCAGGGCCTTATGCATGATAGGCACACTCTAACCAACCTATATCCCCAGCTTCTCTTTCCCTACTTTCTAACTAACCCCTGCTATAGGAAGAAAGTAGATAGAAAATGGATTAGGGTGTCAGACACACCTTACCTAAGAAACAGTTGATCTATAGATGCTTAAGACAACAGCAAATCTGGATTAGATTTCTGCTGTATATCAGACATAGTGTTAAGAACTTGTGGAATTCTCAAAATAGCCATATGAAGATGGGTACTATTCTTTTTCTTACCGTTTTTACATTTTCTTAACATGTGTATGCATTGTTTGTGCCAACTCTCCCCCCACCCCCAGCCCCTACCAGTACTGTTCTTTACAATTCCACTTCACATATGAAGAAATTGGGGCTGAGAGCAATTTAATGCTAGTTGCATAACAACATTTCATAGCCTATAAATGGGAATGCCAGGATTGATGCACAAGTTGTCTAAAGTCTACTCAGATGGACTCAGAACATTCTTACTTTAATTGTAAGACTTTTTTTTTTTTTTTTATCTTTTTAGCTTTGCTTAGAAACCTCACCATTTCATTAAAAAGGTATTAGTAGAATGCATCCTAGTACCAGTGGCTCACGCTTATAGTAATCCTAGCTACTAATGAGGCAGAGATCAAGAGGATCATGGTTTGAAGCCAGCCCAAGCAAATATTTTGAAAGACCTATCTCAAAAAAACTCATCACAAAAAAGGGCTGGCAGAGTGGCTCAAGGGTGTAGACCCTGAGTTCAAACCCCTGTACCACAAAAAAAAAAAAAAAAAAAAAAAAAGATACTAGTAAAGTGCTTGCCTAGTGTATGTGCCAGGCCCTGGGTTTGATCCCCAGTCCTACAAAAATAACTAGGCTGGAGGTGTGACTGAAGTGATAGAATCCCTCCCTACCAAAAGTGAAGTCCTGAGTTCAAACTTCAGTGCCATCAAGAAATAAAAAATAAATAACAATAAAAGCTACACTTAATGAGTGTTGGCACTGGTCTAAGTGCTGTAGATGTATTGACTCATTTGGTGACTGAGTGAGTGGCAAAGCCCAAGTTCAGACTACACGGTCTGTCTAAGAAAGAGATTCTTGCTTTGTTGATGAGAAATTCTAGTTATTTCTACAGTAGCTCAGGCTATCAGATAATAAAATCTCTACTCACTAGTGATGGTCCCAATTATGTCCTGGTTGTTTTAGTTATGTCTCCCAGAAACGTCCATTTGGGTTTCTGCTGATTTTTATTGGCTGACCTCATCTTCACATTAGACTTTATTTTCTGTTCTTTTTTTTTTTTTTCAGGGAAATATGAGCCGAGGAAATAGCTTGTTTTTCCGGAAGGTTCCCTTTGGGAAGACTTATTGTTGTGACCTGAGGATGTTAATTTGAAGATATGGGGCAGGGACAGTGACATTTCTGTAGTCCCAAATGCACAGAATTATGGGAGAGAATGTTGATTTCTATACAGTGTGATGCGCTTTTTTAATAATCATTTAATCTTGGGAAAATGGAGGTGATTGGTGTCTGCCTATTTTGTTCTTTTTCTAGCACAACATCATTTACCATTGATATTCCCCCTTGTAGTTATTCTGAAATGGGACACTTTTGCTCTAGATTGTTGTTTTACTTGAACAGAAAAGAAAAAAAGGTACAAGCAGGTTGTCATGTGATCTGAGTCTCAGTTTAAGGCTTTGTAAAATGAAGAGTGGAATCCCAGTAAGAAAGAAATAATTCTATAAAACCTAAGAAAATTAAAAAGGCATACTATGTAAGAGGTTATGAATTACCTGTTCTTGAGCAGATCCTAAAAAGTCAGCCGCACTCACCAGTCTGCCTCCCACTGTATGTTCCTAAGCATAATTGATTAACCTTGTCTCTCATATTTCTTAAAAAGGACAATATGTTGCTAAATTACCATAAAAAATTTCCATATGAGGTATCCATACCCTCAGTCTATTATTGAAAAAGAAAAAGTTGTCACCGACTACAAAGAAAAAGGACAATTACAATAAGCAAGATTTGGAAAGGAAGTATGATTGCCGTCCCCCACACACTCAAAAAAGTTCTTGTTTTTACATAAAATGTGAAAAACAAATACTGCAGCAGAAGCTCCCTTCTTTCTGCTAAGTCCTGGCCAGTCTCTAAATTTCATCATTGTATGGTTCTCATTGTGTATAATCTTTTCTTCCTGTTTGATTTTGTTTCCTTTTTCTTTATTGTAGAAGGTGAGTGGTTTATTTTTCATTCCTGATGATACCCTTGGAAAGTATGTTTGTAACTCCATAATCTGGTTATGTGGACTTAAGTTCACAGGGCTCTTAAGATATTGACCACCTCGCATGTCATTCCTTCAGCTAGGCATTTTAATATACATTTATTGGAGGAAAAATCACTTTAGAAGGGAAAAATTCAACTTAAGTATAAAACTCCTATTTACTCAGGCCTTTTAAAAGCAGGTTTAAATGCTCTAATATGAGAAAGCGTGTGGTTTACTTATTTAAATATTTCACTGGTACTTTGCCAAATGAGTAAGCACTTTGCTGCTTCTAGACTTCTCTATCAAAGTGGCAGTACCCATAATATTAGATAGCATGAGCATGCAGGTGTCTTCCCCCTCTCAGAGGGTTTAGGAATAAAACCTGAAGCTCATGAGTAGCTTAGCTTGAAATGTCTGATGTCAAAAAGTACTTTGTCTCAAAAAGTCATGTAAATTTTATATTCGATATTATCTTCATTTGTTTTAATACAAAAATGTTTTGCATTACCTACTTTTTTCTCCCAAAAAAGTCTTCAAGTAAAGATGATCTAGGAAAATGTGCCATGTTTATCCTGTGGCTTCTGTGCAACTACCGTCTGCCTGTTCCTCCTGAGAAGTACGTCTGGCTGTGATAGCCAGTCCACCACCAGAGGGCAGCAAGGCTTTGTTTTTTCCCTGTGCGAATTGGTCTGCCTTCTTAACCAAGGTCTGAGACTGCTCTGTCAAAATACTAATCCAATATATAGGGCTGGGGGTGTAGCTCAATGGGAGCAGATGCCTAGCATTTGTGAGGACCTGGGTTCAAACTCCCACACTACAAAAAAAAAATGTATATATATGTATATATAAAAATGTATATATGTATATATATATGTATGTATATATACATATATACATACATATATATATACATATATATAAATGTGTATATATATATATATATACATACATATATATATATATATATATGTCCAGTCATTTCAGTCTTGCTGCAGCCTATCTGTATGTCAGTAGGTATCTGTGGTCCTCCATAAAATTTTATTAAAGTCCGAAGTTTGGGGTGAGCACTGTGGCTCATGCCTGCAATCCCAGGTACTTGGGAGGCAGACAGGAGGGCAGGGCAGTTTGAGATGAGCCTGAGGAGGGGAGAAAAAATTTAGCAAGATCTTACCCCAAAGATAAGTGTGAAGCATGGTGTCTCACACTGTAATCCTAGCTATGTGTGAGATACAGGTGGGAGAATCAAGGTGCAAGGCCAGCCTGGCAAAAAGTATAAGACCCTACTTGAAAAATAATGAAATGTCTGGACATGTGGTTCAAATGGTAGAGCACCTGCCTAGCAAGCATAAGGCTCTGAGCTCAAAAATCCCCGTACCACAAAAAAAAAAAGTGAAATTTTAATTTAATTGGGAGTGGTGGTATTTGTCTGTAATCCCAGCACTCAGAAGGTTGAGGCAGGGGGATTTTGAGGTCAGGGCCAGCCTGAACTATGTAGCAAGACCTTGCCTCTAAAGTAAAACAAAAAAAAAAAAATAGCCTCACTGGACTTTATAGAAAACTAGCTGGCCGTGTAGCAATAATTGAAAGTGGTTAGTTTCAGGTACTGTAGCAGTGAAGTGGAAGAAGGGAGAGAAGCAGTGACTTGTCATATAAGTTTCACTTCTTAAAATTTTTAGTAAGGTAGGGATCCCCACTTCAGAAATAAAATTAGGGGCTGGTGGAGTGGCTTAATGGTAGAGCACCTTCCTAGCAAGTGTGAGTTCAAAAACCCCGCAGTACCACCACCAAAAAAAATAAGTGTAATAAAAAGCATTTAAGAAAGAAGAAAAGAAGTAAAATTAGGTTCAGATTAAATATTCACACAAAGTCAAGTAGCCAGTAAGTTTCAGAGCTGAAAGCCCAGTATCAAATTCCAAGTGCTTTATTGATGAAAAAAAAATGGTCAGTAAGCCAAATGATGTGTAATCCATACATCTAGGGAAAAGACCCTGCATTTGTAGTCAATTAGTGAACCAAAGAGCAAACCTCCCATCAGAGAGTACAATGGTCTTAAATAAGCAGACTGTTACTGCTTCCACTGCAACTAAAAATAGAATTGATCACTATTACTTTTCTCAATAATTCCAGTGATTTGTGTACATGAAAAACTAAGCTACTGAATGGCAAGGTTTTTTTGTCTATAAGTACCGTCAGTGTTTGGGATCCTAGTAGATCTGGATGGTAGCATTTCTTGGGAGTGACCTGTCCACCAGGGCCTCTCATGGTGGTTTTAAAATATCCTTGCACATTGGTTGGGTTCATTCAGGCTGCCCTCCTAAGTGCCATAGGAACTTCTGTTTGGGGTTCTTTTGTTTTTTTAAATATGGACGAAGAAGCATTTTATCTCTTTCACAGATGTTTAGGTTTACCTAAAGATGGGTGGAAGGAGCGTGGTGGTACATGCCTTGAATCCTAGCTACTTGGGAGGTAGTAGCAGGAGGATCATGAATTGAAGGTCTGCATAGGCAAAGTTAGTGAGACCCTGTGTCAGAAACAAAATACAAAAAGGCTGTATGTGTAGCTCAGTGATAGAGCATTTGCCTGGAATGAATGCACAGGCCTTGATTTAATCCCCAGTACTGAAAAAGTCACATAAACGACCTTCTTCCCTTTCTGTTGATCCCTCATTCTGTTTTTTATTTAGTCTTGTAGACAGTCAGAATCTTGTACTCTGGTTTTTGTCCTAGAGAAAAAGTTGCAAAGTTGCAAATGAGAGATTCTTTTGCCACTAACCAAATTTTTGTTTGTTTGTTTTGGTGGTATTGGAGTTTGAACTTAGGGCCTCACACTTGCTAGTCAGGTGCTCTACCACATGAGCCACTCCACCAGCCCTTTTTTGTGTTGAATATTTTCCAGATAGGGGAGGTCTCAGGAAGTATTTGGCTGGGCTGGCTTTGAACCATGATCCTCCTGATCTTTGCTTCCTAAGTAGGATTATAGGCATGAGCCACCAGCACCTGGTCAAAATAAACTTTTCAGGATATCTCAGATGGGAATGGGGACTACTTTTCTAAAGCAAACAACAAAGTTTTCTTTTCAATCAACTTTTGTCCACATGACAGCTTCCTCATCTACTTGCTGCCTAGAGAGATGTCTTGGGGAGGGCCTGTAGCATTGCATAGTTAAGTCTGCACACACTACTCTACACTGCCATTTCCCCATGCCTATGAGATAGTCAGAATGTCTTCTCTCATAAGTGGCTGTCAGGGCCCCAAATCACTTGTCTGGGACCAGTTAGGCACAGTTTTTGTTAAAACAACGATTACTCTGGAACTGACATACTGCAGCCCTGAAGAAAAATGTTTTCAAATAGATTCTGTTTAGTACAACCCACCAAATATGGGTAGAGGAGCAAAGAGAGCAGCAAGCCAAAAAAGAGGGCAAAGAACAGTTGTGATCTAGAGGTGCTCTTAAAGACTCCCCAACTTCCTGAGGGGGAACAAATCTTTTTTTTTTCTCTCTGTTTTTTTTTGGTGGTACTGGGGCTTAAACTCATTGCCTTCACCTTGAGCCACTCCACCAGCCCCATTTTTGTGAAGGGTTTTTTGAGATAGGGTCTCGTGAACTATTTGCCTGGGCTGACTTCAAATCACTATCCTCGATCTCTGCCTCCTGAGTAGCTAGGATTATAGGTTTGAGCCACTGGCGTCCAGCTCTGAGAGGGAACAAATCTTGACGCTAAACTTCCTCTCAGTGTGGGGGCATGGTTCAAATGGAGGCCCTGAGTTTAATCTCCAATACTGCCAGAAAATAAATTTTCACTCCAGAGCTGGGGCATGGGCCAAGCAGTAGAGTTCTGGCCTAGCAAACATGAAGCCCTTAGTCAAAACCCCCAGTACCATTAAAAAAATAAATAAATTCCCTCCAGATCTCCAAGATGTCACATGGGTGACAGGAAATTTTGTAGTACCAATCTCTGCCTCTCAAAGGCAGTCAAAAGAATGGACTATTCCCTAACATGCATTTCCATGGAAAGTCAATTCGGTACTGTGTTTATTTCCAGAGTAACTTGAAGAGCCAGAGGTTAGATAAGGACAAGACCCAGGCTTGTACCTACTCTCACTTTGTCCAGACTGGAGCCCTGCCCTCCTGGCAGCAGAAAGACTGGTGAGAATGTCCTTTGGCTGAAAACAAAAAGGGAGGGTAAAAAACAGAAACAACCACACCTCATTTCAGACTGCTCACCTCCCACTGGAATTCACTATCTCATGCCTTT